ACTCGACGGTGAGGGGGGGGGAGGGGGAAAAAACCACTTCCAAAGGCCCAAGTAGCCGTAACAGCGTTTATTGCCACGTCGCCACGGAATAAAACCCTCTCCCCCACCTCTGTCACTGTATTGTGAATGGTTAAAAAAAAATAAAAAATAAAATAAAATCAGCAGCGCAAAGTGTCGGGAGAAATCGGTGGGCACCGGGGGGGCCGAGCGCATCCCCATCCCCGGGCCAGCAGGAACGCGGCGGCGCCGGGGCAGAGGTATTTCAAACACGGACATGGAAACCATGCTGTGATGGACAGGGGGAGACTCGCTCCTCCAGCTGTCCAGGGAAGAACAGGAGAGAGCACCAGGAGCGGGGCTGCGAGGAGAACCCCTCCCCAAGCCTGCAACCCATAACAAAATATATATATAATTATCTATTATTGCCAACAAAGAGTTTTAAGGACACCCCCCCGCCTCGCACCACAGATAAGGTAAATTAGTTTGTTGGGCTTGGTCTTGCTGTTTTGACGTGGAAGGGAGGAGGTGGTTTGTAGGAGAAAGGGAAGGGGCAGACCTGGATATACGGTGCCTGAGGTACGGTTGGAGGAAAAAAGTGCAGCAAAGAGGAGATTTAAAAAAAAAAAAAAGAAAAAAGAAAAAAGAAAAAGCACTTAATATGTTGGCTCTCAACATATGTCTCGTATGAAAATGATTGTCAAAAGAGTCACTAGTGAAAATAAGGTAAGAAAACACGTTTGCCGTAGAGGTACCTTTCTGCTTCTTCCACCAACAGAAAATCAACCCCAGGTCCATCGAGCGTCCTCCGCTCACCACGGGAGCAGTCTTTGGAAAGCCCAAGTTACGTCGTCCCAGCGCACGCCTGCGAGGATGCCATCCGCTTGGTGGGGCGAAGAGAAGACCCTGAGCCCAACGGGGCCTCTCGCAGCCTCCCCGCGTCCCTCCGGGGAGGGGGCACGCCGCTTTCCCACGGGGTCACCCCAAAACCTGCCCCGGCACCCGCTCCCTGCTGCGCCGGCATCCCCGCCGCACCGCGCTACCCGAAACGAAACTTCAACCGGTACTTGACGGGGCCGGGGTTTTTCCGAGGCGGGGATGGGGCG